ACTTGACATACAGACCATCCCCCAGCACAGCCAAGTGCAGACCATCTCAGACACCTGCACTCAGGCCCATGGTCCTAATCATCCTCTATGCGGACCTGCTGGGTAATGCCACAAAGAACCCAAGAAGGGCTCCCACAGGACATACAGAACATCCCACAGCAAGAGAGTGAGTGATTTACACAGCGGACACTGGAATATTGCCATGTGTGATCCTCTGAAGGTCCTTCATGTCACCAGCACACACTTTCCCTCCTGTTCATACTAAGCTTCTAAACAGAAGCACACTGGTAAGTCCTTCTCTCTTAAGTGTTTTCTGAGAGCTTAAGTTTTGCATGGTGGTGAACCTGTGGTTTCCTGCTTACATTTTCCAACCATTCTTCTTTAAATGAGTCCTGGCTGGCATTTAGGGCAATCCGGAGGGTTAATCATAGCCAACAATGGTGATTTAATCCTGCATTAGGTAAAGATGCTGTACAGGCTGTGGAACACTTGACTTATGCAAATATGACCTTACACAGATTGTTCTATGAAGCTCATAATAACATTTTAGAGATGGAAATTTTATTTGGACAGAAGCACATAGTTCTGTGGTGTGGGGATGATTGTTGCTAAGCCAGGGTTCTGGACAAGCAGCTGCCACCACAGGGAAGGGCTTTAGCATTTGCTTTCATGTTGTTCTGCATTTCTACAGTTTTCATTTGTGTTGTTACCCCTTTCACTGCATTCTAGCTGTGACTGAATGAAAACCAGGCAATAGCAAGGAGTTGCATTAGATGGAAAAAAGAGAAAGTTTAAAGTGCCAAGGCCTTTATTCCATTATGTGTGGATTTTATTTGGCTACCTCAATGTTGAGACACATGAGAGAACACATCAAGTTTCTTCACATGGTGAATATTTTAGAGTCTATGTTCTGAGACAAGCAGGTGGGGTTATAAGTTTTGTTTGTTCTTAGCTATGTGACCTTTGACAAAATATTTGTTCCCCAGGCTCAGTTACTTGACTGTAAAATGGGAGTGAAGAATGTCCCAAAGATTACATGGAATAATACAGGGGAAGTACTTCCTGTTACTTTCAAAGCTCTGTCATTCACAATTCAGTTTCATTCTTCATATAGTTCATAGTAATGTTTTCTTTCCATAAATATTGTATTTCATAAATATTCATGGTAGTTTTCTGCTTCCAGACTTCTTGGGGTCGTTCTAAAGAACTTACAAAGATAGGACCTACATGGACACTAACAATAATGAGGCTGATGGATGAAATGACAAACATAATTCACATTTGTCTCATCCTCTGTGATGATTAAGCCTTGAACAATGTTTGAAGCTGGAAAGTTTCTCACATTGTTTTTACCCATTTAAAAGTAATTTATTTGTAAGTGTTATCCAGTTCTCAACTGGAGAGGATTTCATCCCTCAAGGGACATTTAACAGCATCTGTATATTCAAGTGATATTTTAAACACATGAGGTACAGAGGGGATACACAGCATTTTCCATGAAGCATTATGAGTAGTTACCATGGCTCAAAGATTTAGAATGTGTGCCAAAGTTTAAAGTGTAGAAGTGAGAGGAGAAGGTAAGTATAGTTATAAATGCATCAAAAGTTATCCCAAAATATAAGGAGTAATTTTAAGGAGAACAGGGTATTGCACACAGAACTTTTTATTGTGAATAAAGCTGGGTTGCTTAAGAGAATAGTATTAAAGAGAAGGTTAAAGGCATCAACCAGCACTAATGACTGAAGTCGGTCACACATCTCCTTTAACCTGACAGCTGAAACCATTGCTGACAGTGGTTCACCATTAGAATACCCACATGTGCCTGAAGGCCTTAGCAAGGGTGCCTGCGTGTTATGTGTTTGAACCAATCTTACGCTGCAGAAAGCAGGCAGGTGTAGAAAGCAATTGTGGGTATGGGTCACTGAAGAAACCCAGGGCAGGGCTGGAAGACTTGGCTTTCATCTTCTGAGAGCACTGGTAATGAAAAAGCCAGGAGGCCTAATGGCTCAGTGTTGCCCAAGGATCTCTTCTATTGTGAGTTTATATTTTATTCTCCTGGCTTTTAGATGCTTATGGGTCCTCCAAAATCTACAGCTTTCTGTTCCTGTCTGGTTCAAATTTACTTGAAGTGCACCTGGATCCTTTGCAGAGAGGCTTAAACTCACTAAACTAGAAACTGTTTATTTTCCAAAGAATCCATTTTTGTTTAGAAGTTAGGCCAGTAACATCTCTGAAGTTCTGATGACATATTGCCTAGGCTCTTCTCCAGGCTCAGAATTCCATCAGCTATAGGTTGCTTTTTCAAAAGTGACTACTTTTCATTGTAAACACTGTAAGATATATTCTCTTCACTAAGTAGTAAGCTTAAAATCTAATATTGTCAATATTGCCCTGATGTTATACAGCAATCCTATAACTGATTTGTCTTTATACATATAATTGATTTGTATGTATACATGTGTGCTGGTATATGTCATGTGCATGTGTGCAGTTGAGCATGGTGTATATGAGCAAATATATGTGGAGGCCAAAAGACCTTGGGTGTCATCAGGAGTGCTGTCTACCTTCTTTGAGACAGAGTTTTTCATTAGCTTGGCATTTACCAATTAGGCTAGCAAGATGGACAGTGAGCCTTGGGGTCCTCATGTCTATACCTCCCCAGTGTCAAGCTTACTCACATCTGCCACCACACCTGTCATTTTTACATGGCCTTTGGGGATCAAACTCATGCTCTCATGCTTCTGAGGCAAGGGCTTTGTGGACTGAGACAGTTCCCCAGGCCCTGGCTTGTCTTTTTCCATTGTGAATGTATCAGACTTACCCAGAAGCTTTTGAAATGCTTTCTGGCTGAGCCAAACTTGCCCATCCCTACTTGAGTTCCTGGTAAGTACCATTCTGTTTTCTAAGTTTGACTTAGATCTTCATGAAGGTGCAGTCCTGTGGCATTCGTCCTGTAGCCACAATTAGCCTTTTGCCTCTGACATTGACTCAGATAACTTAGAATTCCTTTTTTTTCTTTTTTGTATTATTAGGAAATTTTCTATTCATTTTACCTACAACCACAGATCCCCCTGTCCTCCCTCATCCCACCCCCAGCCTTGCCCCCAACCTACCCCCCCCACCATTCCTACCTTCTCTAAGGCAAGGTCTCCCATGGGGAGTCAGCAGAACCTGGTACATTCAGTTGAGGCAGGTCCAGCCCCTCCCTTTGTATCAAGGCTGTGCTAGGTGTCCCACCATAGGCACTGGGCTCCAAAAAGCCTGCTCATGCACCAGGGACAGATCCTGATCCCACTGCCTGGGGACCCCCTAACCAGTTCAAACTAAATAACTGTCTTGCCTATGCAGAGGGCCTAGTCTAGTCTCATGGGGGCTCCACAGCTATTGGTCTACAGTTCATGAGTTCCCACTAGTTTGGCCTGGTCATCTCTGTATGTTTCCCTATCATGATCTCCATGTCCCTTGTTCATAGAATTTCTCCTCTCTGTCATCAACTAGACCTCCGGAGCTTGGCCTGGCACCGGCCATGGATCTCTGCATCTGCTTCCATCAGTTACTGGATGAAGGCTCTATGATGACAGTTAGGCTATTCACCAATCTGATTACTGAAGTAGGTCAGTTCAGGTACGCTCTACATTATTGCTAGTAGTCTATAAGTTGGAATTTCAATGTCTCAGCACATCACAGTGCCTGGAACAGAGATTAATCACACTGCTGTTGCAAGGATTGTGGTAAAATATTTATTTCTACCACTAATATCAATTTTTGACTAAATACTCAAGAGTAAATGTAACAACACTAAAAGCTAGCTGTGACAGTGGTAAGAAGGGGGTTCATTTTTTGGTGCATATCAGGCACATTCATTGGTTTCTTATTATAAATACCATAGACTCATTTTATAGATGAGTAACTGTTTTAAAGCCCTGGCAACATGGTTATAGCTGAGGCATGGAATGGAGATTGCAGGATCATTTGATGACCATCCATCCCTTTGCTGGCCTCACTGGCCCCTCTACTTGGGTGTCAGGAAACCCACAGAATCACTGCTTGGGCAAGCTTCTTTTGCCTCTGAACTGGGACATTTAGTTTTGTGGTCTTGTTCATTCTGGGGGATATAGGTGTTTTCGTTGCTTCTGTATGTTAAAACTGAGATAGGTGTATTTTGAAAAGAACTTAATTTACCTAGACACATTCTTGATTTTTAAGAATGTTTCCTTACTCAGAATGTTTCCTTACTCAAGTTCAACTGTCCCATCTGATTTACTGCTGAACTTAGATGAGTCAACTCTTGAATGAGAAGTTTTGCTCATTGTTACTTAAGAAATTTGGCTCCTTGTTCCTCGGGCTATGCCCTTGAGTGCTCTGTGAGACATAAATAGGCCAAATGCACCTTGTTGTCCAGGAATGCTATTTAGGAGAAGGTGATCAGACTATCCTAGAGTTGCTTCACCAGGAATCAATCACTCCTTTTCCCTATCCTTCCCCTTTCTCTCTCCCTCCTTACCCTTTTCATCTCCCCTCTCTCCTTGTGTTATATCTTGGAGAGTACCAATAATATTATTAAGAATAATCATTTCTTCTGAAAAAGCTCATGGTCAGAATGCCTCTTAGGAACAGTCCTCTAAGAAACACCACTATGGGTCATAATGGGGTAGTAATGAATTTCTGAAGTGTCCAAATTCACATATCATCCATAAGTACATAAATTTAAATAATTTGATTCAGAAATTGTTTTCCATTTTCTTTTTTAATATGTTTTTCTTTAATTGAAAATAGATTTTTTTGGGCCAGGTGGTGGTGGTGCACACCTTTAATCCCAGCACTCAGGAGGCAGAGGCAGGTGGATCTCTGTGAGTTCAAGGCCAACCTGGGCTACAGAGGTAGTCTAGGACAGGCTCCAAAGCTACAGAGAAACTCTGTCTCAAAACAACAACAACAACAACAACAACAACAAAAACCACCTCAGCATGTAAACAATACCACCTGCCAAAATGAAAACAAAGACCTAATCTATCAAAGTCCATAGTTCTGGGAAGGTACTAACCTTACTTTTTAGATTCTGTAGTTCTGCTTCTGGCTAACTGTTCTTGTTAACTGAAGTATGCCAATTCAGAACATGTTTTTTGTGCTTAAAAGCTCACTTTGAGAAAGGCTAACTACTATATTGGCATCCAGAATACCCTATGTAGTCACTGGCTGGCTAATTAAGACTTTTTATTGGCTTAAACCCATGTCTGAGCATTCTTTCCTGTGAATACCCAACAGTCTAAGAATATAAAGATGTGGATTTTTCCTGAATAAGGCTTGGGCTTTGTGCTTCTTTTCCTTTCCAAGTTAGGGTAGATGTGCACACAGCCATGTACATTTTTCTTTTCAGGTCCTTTGGATCATATTTAGCTACTTGTTCTCTACCCATGTCTTTGACTGTGTGAACTGAGCTGGCTTGTATAGTTACAAAGCCTGCCGTTCTTGAAAGACAGCAGAGGAGTATTGGTGGAATAGATTTAGACACATTGTCATTGGGATCAGGTTCTTAGAAGCATGAGCTATGTATTGCAGGATGGGAACTCAATTAGACATTAAAAACTTTATTTTTCTTTTTAGTCTTAAATTATTTTAAAATGAAAATATTCCTACTTTCTCTAGAATGAGAAAATTATCATTAAACACAGAGAATTGTTTAATATTACTTGGTGAAAACACAAAATTACTTAAATTCAGCTTTGTGTAAATACAATACAAGTTACCCTTTTGAAATTGTGAATTACAGAGTGAGTCTTTGGAACACTGAAATGGGTGGGTGAACCGGGAAAATGTGGACTCATAGACCGTTTGCACACCACAGATATGATCTCCCCTGACAACCTTGACAGGCTATTTCATCTCTGTCCCTCTGTTGTCTAAAATGTGTCTATGAGGACACAACTCCTTTCCCCTTTACCTCTGACAGGGCATCTGTGAAGAGTGACTCCTAAGCATTCCACAGTTACAGAATGTGACGTGGTATATGAATATGCAAGAGCAGCCATTATCAGCTGATCCCCATGTCTTTGGAAAGAATCACTCATTGTGGAGAGAATGAGGGGCTATTTGAAATGGCTTGAGGTAAGTTGCATTTCATACATTGCCAATCAAATTAACCTTGAGCCTTTCTCTGCTACTTAGAATTCTTGTTTTCTTTTTCTCTGTCATTGAAAATTAAGATGATGGAGATGAAACCATTTTCTATTCTCGAGGTTGCACTTCAGAGTCCTCTCCTTCCCCAAGGAGAGGTGAGGGACATTTCTGTACATCAATCAAACTGATTGAGACTAGAGAAATGGAGACTGTCACCAAATCCAGAAGACACTGGCATGTCTGGCATGTCAGCTTCAACATGGAGATCACTCCTTTCTCTCTTTTCTCCAGCACTTAATTCTCAGACCAGCATTGCTGGGCATGAACTTGGGGAATTTTATGAGTGTGGCCCCATGGGGATTCTATCATCTCCTTATTCTTACTTAGGCAATTGCATCCTTGATAGCGATTAGGTTTCCTTGGATCCTAGTCTTTCTCTGTATCTGAGCTAAAAACAGATGCTGTGGAGATGTGCTTGGCAAGCTTCCAGATTTATGCACTTTGTAAATAAAATTTTCATTTATCATGGTCTCTTATTTCTTGTTCTCCCTCTCTGTTCTTGTTCTAGCTGGGATCTCCTGCTCCGCTAAGCTCTCTTTCCCTCGAACCTTGCCCTTCATTACCCCCACTCACATCCAGGTTGTTCATGTTGATCTCATCCATTTCTCTGTCATTGGGCAATCCCTTTGTCTTTCTTAGGGTACTGTTTTCTAGGTAGCCTCCCTGGAGTTGTGAGTAGCAGTCTAGTCATCTTTGTTTTACATCTAGTATCCTCCTATGAGTGAGTACATACCATGTTTGTCATTCTGAGTCTGGGTTACCTCACTCAGGATGATTTTTTCTAGATCCATCATTTGCCTGCAAACCTCATGATGCCATTGTTTTTCTCTGCTGAGTAGTATTCCATTGTGTATATGTACCACATTTTACTTATCCATTCTTCAGTTGAAGAGCATCTAGGTTGTTTCCAGGTTCTGGCTATTACAAACAATGCTGATATGAACATAGCTGAGCAAATGCCCTTGTGGTATGATTGAGCATTCCTTGGGTATATGCCCAAGAGTGGTATATCTGGGTCTTGGGGGAGATTGAGTCCCAATTTTCTGAGATAGCGCCATATTGATTTCCAAAGTGGTTGTACAAGCTTGCATTCCCACCATCAGTGGAGGAGAGTTACCCTAGCTCCACATCCTCTCCAGCATAAGCTGTCTTCAGCGTTTTTGATCTTAGCCATTCTGACAGGTGTAAGGTGGTATCTCAAGAGTCATTTTGATTTGCATTTCCCTGATGATTAGGGATGTTGAGCAATTCCTTAAATGTCTTTCAGCCATTTGAGCTTCCTCTGTTGAGAATTCTCAGAACAAGAAATAAGAGACCATGATAAATGAAGACCAATGAGAATAGGAAGAAGCAAAGTGCTAGAGAGGTCCACAGAAATCCACAAAGATACCTCCACAATAGACTACTGGCAATGGGTGAGAGAAAGCCTGAACTGACCTACTCTGGTGATAGAATAGCCAAACATCCTTATTGTCATGCTAAAAATCTCATCCAATGACTGAGGGAACCGGATGCAGAGATCCATGGCTAGGCCCCAGGTGGAGCTCCAGGAGTCCAAACTGGCGAGAAAGAGGAGGGTTTGTATGAGCGAGAATTGTTGAGACCAAGGTTGGATAAAGCACAGGGACAAATAGCCAGATGAATGGAAACACATGAACTATGAACCAATAGCTGAGGAGCCCCCAACTGGATCAGGCCCTCTAGATAAATGAGAAAGTTGATTAGCTTGAACTGTTTGGGAGGCATCCAGACAGTGAGACCAAGACCTGTCTTCAGTGCATAAGCTGGCTATTTGGAACCTGGGTCTTATACAGGGACACTTGGCTCAGCCTGGGAGGAGGGGACTGGACCTGCCTGGACTGAATCTTCGAGGTTGAACTCAATCCCCAGGGGAGTCTTTGCCCTGGAGGGGATGGGAATGGGGGGTGGCCTGGGGGGAAGGTGGGGGAGAGGAGGGGGGGGAGGACAAGGGAATCCCTGGCTGATATGTAAAATTAAATTAAATTATAAAATAAAAAAATAGAAAAAAATTCAATGAAGATTAAGGTGTACCTACGTGCATACACATGTCATGGACATTTCATACTGATTTCCTTCTGACCCAGAACTCTGTGCAGTTCCCATCTGGTTTGCCTGTACCCCTCTTTAACATCTCTGTCATCAAGAAACCCTTAGACATAGTTTATTGCCAGTCACCGCCAACACTTATGCCATCCCTGCACCAATAGGAGGGAGATTTCCCTTCCTTTAACCTTGGTAGCCTAGCACTTTGTAGTCATTTTGTGGTATTCCATTTTGCACTATAGACATACAGTTCCTGTATTTTCTATTAGTCTAAAATCTAAGATTTGTGCTTAATTGCTCATGTCTCTCCCAGTTGTAGCAGAAAAGTTTAAGAAATATTACAAATCTTTACAGAAAAATACAAGACATACAATAGAAAGGTAAACAAAGATTAGGAATTTTATTTGCATTTAGACAGTGTTTAGAGTAATTCCCTGAAACAGAGGGGTGGGATATTATAAAGATGGCCTCCAAACTTTTAAAGTCAGAGCTTGGGAGCCAATAGCCAGCAGCCAGAATCATGTCAAACACATCAGGTCTTAGGTGATGTAGATGGTCACTACTTACATACATTCACTTTAACTTAAAGATGCATTTGAGCAAATTAATACAGTGAACAATGAATAGTAGTATCTGTGCCAAGTTGAGGATGAATTAAATGGGACTGGGATGAGAGGGTGAGCAAGGAAGTCTTGGTTTTGGAAGAAGTGATTCCTTAATAAATAGGGGCCAATTCTTATTTGAGAGAGGGTTTGGACAAATATTTAGAGATTAGATAGATAGATGGAGAGAGGGAGAGAGGGAGAGAGAACCCTGACTATATTAGAAGGGTCAAATTGAACACTGCTAACTAAGGCCTGTCATGACTGCAGGAATTCGATGAGATGATTCTCTTTATGTCATTGTCCTTCCTCTTTAAATAGCAATACATCAAAATTTTTGATGGGTATGTCAATTGGAAATCAATTGATGGGTAATCAATTTGCTGTCCAAACTATCTTATTTCATGGTTTAAAAATACAAAGCAGGGCTATTCATGCACATGCTATATGTGATGTCTTAGACACTGTCATCTCAATGGGCAGCAGTCAAAGACCACTGTGATGGCTGATTTTATCTTATACTGAAAATATTTTAGGTTTAATTTCTGTTGCTTTCTGAAATGTTGGCTTTTTATAAATGTAGTCAGTGGCCCATGCTGGTTACTTCGCATACTATGTGAGCAAAGAGCCACAGCAGTAGATATGTTCTTTTGTATTTTCCAGACACACAGACACATTGACTTACCTCACTGAGTTCCTCTGTTTCTTTTGCAGCTCTCTTCTCCATCTAGACTTCTCTCTGAATATTCTTGCTGTTGTCTTCCTGTTTTCTTGATTCTCTATATTTCCATTTCACAGAAGTTGCACATGAAGGCGTATTGCTTTAACCATGCCTGTGATGGAGAAGAGCTTCTCCTACTAGTTACAATTCAGTAAAGTTGACTAAAGTAATCTGATTCTGGCTGGGTGTGAAACAATGTAGCCTAATTACTTATATGGACAACTAATAGCAACAGTGGGGTCAATAGTGTTTATTGACTGTTTCAAATGGTATATGCTGCTATAGGCATGAAAATTTGAATGGTAGGTTGTCTATTAAAAAAGCACTATTTTCATACAGATGCATCCACACTAAGAGAAGTACAGAATCATTTATCTAGAAAATCCTGGTGGGAAACTTTCACTGCTAAAGATTAAATTATGCTATCTTGAGTCACTTCCATTGATAGCTAATATTGATTAAATTTCCTTAAATATTGCTTGAATCTTTATTTCACTTATCTACTGAAGAAATATTGCAGAAACACTATGTAACCCAATGCTTAGCTATGTGAATAATCCCACTGAAAGGGGTTCCAGTCTCTTAAAGTATAATTCCCATTTTTAGAGCTGACATTGGAAACAATAGCATTCCCAGAATCCAAGGTTGTTCTTGGGTATCTAAGAATATGGCATGTTTTTAACCTTGCTATAATGGAATGGAAAAGTATGTTTCCATAGCAAGCTGTGAAGAACTGGCACTCAGAGATTCACTTTTGTTTTTGTTACTTAGCAAACCGGAGCTCAGTGACTTGTTGTCTTACACATCAAGAAAACACAACAGACCACACATAGATAAAAGCTTTACAGTGCAATAATCTGTAATTGGATAGTTATTTATAATAATTATCATGTGTGAAATGTCTCCTGGATTTACTTTGGTTGCCTTAGAGCAATCTCAAATTTGCTTTCACATGCTGCAATAGGTGTGGTTTGTCCACTTGAGCTCACACTGCCTGAATATGTTCTTTGCTGACTACTGAGAGTCGGTTGATAACAGGCGTATTACAGAGGAAGCAGGGAGAGTGGCTTTGACAGTGTTCCCTCTTACTAGTGGAAAGACAGGGCTGGCAGAAAGGATCTGTCCCTCTGTGTAATTATGTCTGGGGAGCTCCAGCAAGGCACAACAACTTTCTGTGCTTTCATTTTTAATAGCCAAATGCTCTGAACGTTGCATGCTCAATTTGTAATCAGTTTTTATATTTTCCATTACTCAGAGGAAATGGAAAGCCTGGAGTTTAAATACAAATAATCAAGAATAGTTACTCACCTTTCTGTGTTGCTTGAGATGCTTGGTTAATATTGTACAAACCAAGGGACACCACAGTAAGAGAAGGATGATGTCATTTCACCAACAGTTTGGAAGAGAAAAGTTTCTGCCTTCAACTGAAGACAAATCTGCAAGGATTTTGCTATTTTGTTAAAACACCCATTTTCTGATTCATATTCTCCATATTTTAATTCTGCATTAGTTTTGGACAAGAATCAGCACCAACATGTTAATATTTCTTTTTATCTAATATGGCACATTTGGGTATTTTCTCCCCCCAACTCATGTGATGGTTTTTCTTCTATAAAGTGTAGGAAGACATTCAGTCATTGTCATGTTCTCTCTTTCTTTGGGTTCATAGAATTCCTTAGTACTACAGTGATAAAACAATCAAAAGAATTGAGAATCTGATCACTCATTATCAATGACATTTCAATTCTTATACACTTATTAGATCCTCCTCCCTGTTTCTAGTGCTATGGACCAAACCATGAGCCTTGTACATGCTAGGCTAAATGCTCTAGCATCGTGCTACATCTCCTGCCCTCAGCCTCCTTTCTTTTTCTTTTTTTTCAATGCTCAGTTTCCTTTATTTTTTTTCATCCTAAATAACAGAAAGAGAAGAGGAGTTGATTCAATCTTTTGCAAGACCCAAAGCTTCCTGTGGTAAGAAAATTGATCGAATAATTATTTGATTGAAAACCTGGACTGGCCAAACACCTGATTCAGTTTTCTGTCTGATCCATCTCCAAAGGACTTTGACAGTTGTCAGAATGCAGAGTTTCACAGAGTTCCTCTGCCAAGACAAATGGCGGCTTTTGTTGTTGGAAACTTGGTGCCGGAAAAAAATGAATCAAGCAGAACCTTCCACACTTTGCAGGTGACTGATCACATGTTCCAGTTCTGTCTGACCTCACATGCTGCTGAGAATGTGAATCTTCAGGAAGTACAAATTGATGCCAAGTACTTATCAATAAAGAAGTTTGGGGTCCTCAGCCTCCTTTTATGCACTCAAGTCCTGCAATTAAGTAATAATAAGAAACTTTGGGGACCACATCATCATAGAGCTTAATTTCTCCCTGTAATTGGGGAGAAAATTATACAAGCCACATAGATTCATGGCATGGAGATATAGAATCCTAAGAGAAGCAGATCCTATCTTTTATCAATAGGCACATGATTTCTACCCAAGTAAGCCAGGAAGTTATTGTGTAAGATGCAGTTAACTTGAGTCTTTTGTTGTTGTTTAGTAAAGGTATGTGCATGTGCATGTGCATGTGGAGGCCAGAGTTAGATGTTTAACCTCTTTTCCTTGATCTCTACCTTTATTTGTTGAGACAGGATCATTCACTAAATGAGCCCATGTGCAAGGAGATTTGCCTAGGCTGGCCCACCAATGAGCTTCAAGGATCCGCCTGTCTCTCTTCACCTTCCTTCCTATTCTGGGGTTATATACACATGCTGTGCTTAGTTTTTTACATGGGTTTGGAGGATGTTCAAACTTACTTCTTTATATTTGTACAGTAAGCATTTTACTCACTGACCTGTCTCCTCTACCCATGACTTGGATCTTGAATTCAGAGTTTACGTATTTGGAAATGGGTCAGCATGTAATAAAGACCAGTAGTTATTGTTATTAATTTTTTAAAATCTACTGTTGAATGACATATTACTCCCAATATATGATGTTCCAAAGAGACAAGGAGACATTTTGTATAGTTTCTGTAGGTCAGATGTCCAAGAGTAGATTAGGCTAGATTCTGCTCAAGGTCCCTCAGGAGGATTTAGTCAGGCTGTTGGCTATGACTGTAGTTTTCTTAAGGCCTTGAAGGGCCTTTTGGAACAACTTCCAAGTGTCACACTCCCATGGTTATTGGCAAGAAGCTTTTATGTTTTATTGGTTGTTGGCAGAAGACCTCTGTTGCTCACTACATGGGCCCATCCACTAGCCTTCCCCAGTGTCCTCATGATGTGGCAGATGGCTTCTCTCAGAGCCAACCATGAGGCGAGTTGGAAAGGGAAGGAGATGATAAATTCAGATAAAGCAGCACCTTTTTTTTGGTCCTAGTTTTGTGGATGTTTTCAATTTGCCTTATTTAATGTTAGAATTGAGCCAACAAGTCCATTCCGTTTTTCACTATGGGTTAGGTTCTAATCTCTCAAAGAGAAGGCTATTAAAAAATTATTGATGCATTCTAACATCCTAACTGTGGGATTGGGGAAGATGTAGGAAAAATACTCAATCAGGTAATTGGGTAAAAGGGACCAGGTGATCCACACTGTACTCTGTGTAATCCAGTTTACAGAACTTCAAACTAAGATAAGAATAGGATCAAGTAAGGACACAAATACTTAACTCCACAGGGTGAGAATCACACAGAATTTTTGATCAGAGTACAGGCATAATTACAGTTAGGATCCGGGTCTAGGGAGGATATGTGGAGGGTTGAAAGAGAAGACCCATTCCACCCACCAGAGGAATGGACCTGGGAGCAGTGGCAGAGGATAGTTCCAATGCTGATACTACTCTGCATCTTTTAGACCCTACTCTACAAAGCATTAATAGCTATAGAGATGAGCATACTATTGTGTGTCTAATACAACTGCTAATGGGATGTGCCTGTGATTTAGACACTGTTGCTCACCAAGCTTTTGCAGGCTTGATGAACTGAGCTATAAGCTTGAGGTACAACAACAGCTTTTGTCGCTTTTCTTCACTAACTGAGGGCAGTTGATGCCTGGGATGGGAAATGCACCTACAACTGACAGGATACATTCTTTTTCTTTTGAAAACTTTTTATTGATTCCTTGTGGATTTAACATCATGCATCCCAATCCCACTGATCTCCCCATCCGCTTACTTCTGCCCTCTGCCCTTGCAACCTTCCCTTTACAAAACAAAATTTAAAAGAAAAACCAAAATCCAGCATCACAAAAACCCTCAAAACAAAAACAAAATAAAACAAAACAACAATAAAAAGCAAAAAACAAATTAAAAATATCTTGGCATGAAAGCTGTAGTATGGCCCTGTGAGTCACACAGCATGCCCTTTAGTCTTTACATCTTTACTTAAATGTTAATTGCAACGAGTCATTGGTCTGGTTTGAGGCCTCTGACTTCTGCTATATCCTCTATAAGGGGCCCTTACTGTAACTCATTTGGGATATCATATTATTGCCTTGTGAACAGGACATATTCTTTTTTTTTTCATTTTTCTTAAGAAATTTTCCACTCACTCCACACGCTATCCACAGACCCCCCTCCTCCTTCCTCCCACCTTCAGCCCTCTTTCCCAAGCCACCCCACATCCCCCATGGGGAGTCAGCAAAGCCCAGCACACAAGCCCCTTCCCACTGCACCAAGGCTGTGCAAGGTGCAGGGCATGCTCTTAATTGACTCTATATCTTAATTGTAGAAAGAGCTTAATGTTATTGCTAGATTAAAGGTATTTAAATGGGAATTCTTTATGACAAAATTGCTACCCTACCTATCAGTTTGTACAATTAATACATACTAAGAATGCAAAGAATGACAGTATTTTTCCATGAGCAAAACATTCATTACTTTTTGTGTTCATGTACTTCTATTTGCAATACTTGGTTCTTAAAAATGTATGTTCCCATGACAGTGCAACCCAGGGCCTGGTCAGAATCAAAATTCTAGCACAGACTTCCCAAATTAGCACACTTTTTAAAGGGAATCTGAAAAACTCCAGCGCACAAGATCATCTTCATTTCTCCTTTTGGATTTGTGTGCTTCATGGTCTATAAGAGTTTAACATTAGGTCATTTTCCTAGTCTGAATTGTGCATTGATTCATCATCCCATTCCCTTTATTGCAAACTAACTTCATGCTTATACTGAGTTTGTACATTCTTTTAATTGAAAATAGGAGATGTGTCCAAGATATTGTTGGCATTTACAAAATTCCCAATGGAAGAACACCATTTACTAATCTTTATTATGTTGTCTCAGCACATTCACATGTTCCCCACATGCATTTTATTCTTTTTCTTTGTACTTTCAAGTCCCAGTCAGGGCTGTATTCACAGCATTTGCTCTGCTTTCATATCTTGGCTGTCTATGACTACATCATAAGTACTTTGTAAGTTTTAAGTGAACATTAATTGCCCAGGGTTCTTGTATATGTAACTAAAATGGTACTAATGAGATGCTTTTCAAATATCTGAATACATTGGTTGCGTCTCTGTTTTGTTAAAGTTTTTCAAAAGAAAATGTAAAGTAATTTATTAACTATTCAGTAGTCTTTCCTATACTATTTCAGACAATTCTTTGGGTGTGCTTCAAGGCTCAGCCAAGCAATCCCTCCCCCCATCTTTTAAATTAACACCACCAGTGAAGTATTCTGAAATCTTCAGAATATGTTCCAGCCTCTGGAATATGAGCCAATACAAACTGGTTAGGTGATTATGAACCTTGGCACATTTCCCTATATCATTTTATGGGGACATTGTAGAATTGTTCCAGAAGAACAGTGACATTTTTTTTTGAGACCAGGTCCTACTATATAGCCTGGCTGTTGTAAAATTTTCTGTGTAGACTAGGATGGTCTTGAATTCACAGAGATCCACCTGCATGTGTCTCCTGAGTTCTGAAAGGCATGCTCCATCATGCCTGTGTAAACACTTTTATTACATGTTTGTTTGTTTATTTTATGTGTGATCATGGGTGCACATGTACCATGGTTTGGACTGGGAAGTCAGTGGACAATTTGCTGGAGTCAGTTCTCTCCTTCTACCACAGTGTTCCTTAGGATTATATCCAGGTTTCCTTAGATTGTCCTCAGACTTTTATGGCAAGTTCTTTTACTCACTGACCATTCTCTCTGGCCCCCAAACAGTAGCATTCTGAGGGCATCAGACAACCTTCAAGCCAATGCCTGTTTTACAAATGAGAGGAGCTGTACTCCAGGGACCAAGCTCTAGCACAGCTTCTGTGTCTTAAGCTCAGTGCTCTAGTTAGTGAAAGCATATAAAGAGCCCCCCAGTCTCTTAAAACACTCACTTAAAGGCTTCTACTTATCTAACTCCAGCAATGCTAAACTGAGTAACAAGTTGAGAACTCTGTAATTGGTAGTTTTCTTTTCTTCCCTTCATAACCAACATTTTCATACAAGGTGCAGAATGGCAGAAGTTTGCCTATACTTCATGTCACATTTCTTTATATTTATACTTCAAGTAGCAAATGTCAGTGACTATTTATTAATATTATCCACAACCAATTATCTACATAACAATAGAATGAGCTAACAAACACCACACATGTGTAAACATATAGAGTATGCTTTTAAAATGTGTTTTATATAATGTTGTTGCCAAAATGGTTCTGGCTTTTGAAAATATCTAGTTCTTGAAGAAAATGACATATTTTTAGAGAATTTAGAGATTTTTCAGGAGGAAGTATTTGAATGAGGCAAAGATGGCATAGATTGGACCACAACAGAACAGTCATCATTTATAAGTAACACAATAATATATTCTTGCAAGGATTATATGGTGATCACATCCTGAGAAGACAGCAAGCAGCACACACATAGAGGACTGGAGATGACTAATGGCTGAGGATGGGAATTTTTGAAAAGTAAATTAGTAAGTTTGAGCATTATTGTTTGAGAGGGCACAATCTGATGTAGGGGATGAAATTCTTGCAGGATGGAGGGATAAAGTCTTACAGCATGTGTGGTAGGTACAGATTGGTCCAGGGATATGGACTAGTCCTGGCACAGATTCAGAAGTTAGAAACATGGAATCTGCTGTAGTCATGGTTCCAGTGTTTTAACAGGGGATGAAAGCCCTTATTAGTCATGAATTCACCTCTCCAGTGTCTAAAAGAGTTCCTTAATAAAACTTTATAGGATAAACAGACTAAGAATTTTTTATAGAAATCAGGGAAGAAAAATCTGATCATCTTACAGAA